GTCGCCCGTCGCCCGTCGCTCGTCGGCGCTGACGCGGCACGTATCACGTAGGTCGCCGCGCCCGCGTAAACAAAGACGTTACCGCGATTCCCGTGTCCTTCCGTCCGCCGCGCCGTCGACAGCCGGTCACTGCGAGCCCTCGCGATTTGCGAACGATGCGTGCGCACTCGCGATCGTGAAATGGATTACCCGGAATTTCCGGTTATCGTATGAGGTCTGTTCTTTTTCCACCCCAACTTCTCAACTGGTGTGTACACTGTACTCTAAGGGTATATCCACACAACTTATATAACCGCATAAACGTATGCGTAAAGAAAATTATCCAATCACATTTCGCTATCGTAAGAACATACGTAAAATACGATAGGATAATTTTCTTTATGCATAAGTTTATGCGGTTATGCGAGTGTTGTGTAGATATTAGTTAAGGGTATACAATTTGTATAGTCGCACAAACGTATGAATAAAGAAAATTATCCAATCACATTTTATGTGCGTCTTTGTAAGATTGCGAAATGCGGTTGGATAATTTTCTTTGTGCATACGTTTATGCAAGTTGTGTCAATATACTCTACTTATTGCGCTACTTCAGAATTATGGTTTAGAATATAATTATTCGAAAAACAGACTTGTCACACTTGTTGAATTTCAACGCGATGCATAGTGGAGTATTTGTATAAAAAAAGTGGCAAAAAAGATGGCAAAAAAAGTGGCTTCCTTTTTCTTTTTCTTTAATTGGCCAACGACTCATTTCTGAGACTATAATGGCCAGTAACGATTTATCGTGTAAAATTGAACAAAAAATTATTAATAATGACGCAATTTCTTTTTTCAAAAAAATATCGCCCCCATTTCCCCCAAATATTGGACGTCTGCATTTACAGCAAATTAATATATGCCGCAAAGGTCGCACGCCAAGATGGATGAAGGGACCTTCATATTATGGATATTAAACAATAGTAATAGAAAACTCAGAGCTCGAAGTTGGCAACACTTTGCAAAAAGATACTTTATAAAGGGACACTCACATTCGTCCCAGTTGAGTATCTATTCTCCACGAAACTCGGCAAAAAAAACATTTTTTTTTTAAATCATTCTGCTCTAAAGCCGGATTTACATGACACACAAAACGCGGTTGCAAGATTAAAATCTAATCTAACGTGTTTGAAATTGGCTGCGTTTAGCAAAACGTTGCGCACAATAGTAATAGCATACTGAAAACAACCAATTAAATTTGAGTCCGAACGCACTTTCCTGCATATAATAGCAGTAACATATTAGAACAACCAATTAAATTTGGATTCAAATTCACTTTCCTACTGCGCATCCGCGAGAACGTTTCATCTTGTATTTTTAGCATGACTGATTCAATATCACTGATCAGTATCAGTGACTGTGTAAAGTTACCTTTAGGATATTATCTGCTATACTATAATAATAGCATTTTCGACTGTAGCGGGTTTTGATCCGATCCGAGTTGATTTAATAACACTACCAACTCTACTATTGGTAGAACATGTAACGTTAACCAATAGCAAAGCATTAATCCAACCCGGTCGGTTTAAAACCCGCTGCAGTAAAAAACGCTATGAAAGGTACGTTCATTTTCGTCCTCAGCGTTAAAGCACGACTTATTTAAATAAAAAGATAACGTTCTTTTTTTATACAAATGTTATTCCAATAGATTTCTTTGAACAGGTAATTGCGCTCAATTATCTTGGCTGTAATCATTTAAAGCTTGTTCCCACCAATGTAAATTAACTTTATCTTTATTATTTAATCTCGATTCAACTTACTCTTTACCTTTTTCTAATTTCTAAAACTAAAAAAAGATAAAGAGTAAATTAATAATAATAAACTGAGATTAAAGTTCATCTACATTGGGTTATAATAAATTCTGTTTCTATTTGAAAAATATTTAAAAATTTCTGTACCACTTATTAAATGAAAAGAGGAAATAATTTTATGTGTGTGTGTAATCTGTAATTATTTTTTTATTATTAAATCGTCAATTTAAACTTGCACTGTTTTACCTCGCACTATTATTTGTAATATTATCTATGTATTATACATGTATGTTTCGAAAATAGCAAACGTGAATAATACTCAGAGAATTTAATTGAGAAAATATTACGAATTCAGTAATAAAACTGTTATGTACTATTGTCGGATTTAATCTGTCTCAATTATGCAGTTTCTAACTAACGTGCAATATTTTACAAAATAACAATTAAGAAATAAAAAGTACAAGTAATTTCTCTTTCCATGACTTATCGTCAACAGAAATATCAAGGTTGGGTAATGCTAAGTTAAAAAGTTAAAAGTTAAGTTAAAAAGTTAAAAAGTTAAATAATTTTAACTTTATTTAGTCACATTTTAGACTTTTAACTTTTTAACTTTATATAATTATATTTTATCAGCAACTATTAATTTTTAATTTGATTTATTAAAAGTTAACATCAGGGTTGGATAGTTGGCGTTATACGGATCCTATACTCGAATTATATCAGATTATATGCTTATACATTCGTGTCCGTCGGAAATGTATTTTTCTAATTTTGAATAATTTCAAATATTTCGTTTATGTTTAAACAAGGAATAAAGAGGTTTGTAAGCAATTCGTCGTCATAACTTAAAATCATAATTTTCTCAAAAAATATAGAAGTGCAATTTATTACTTTATAAGGATTATTTTTTGATCCTCAAAATAATCACGCAAAAACTGATCAAAATCCGTAAAATACATATGTGAGTCTCCTTGTTAATTAAAAAAATTAACTTGAAATCATGAAATAAAACAAATTTAACTTTTAACTTTTTTTACTTACTTTTTTCATTAACTTAACTTTTAATTCAATTAATGTCACTATAGATTAACTTTTAACTTAACTAAGTTTAAAAAAAAGTTAATTTACCCAACTCTGAGAAATATCATTTTCGTTAACTATCTTAGATGTACGTATAATCATCGCATTACAGCTATACTAACAAGAATATTATTAATTTTGACACGTCAATAATCGTTACTTTCGAATGATAGCCAGCATTAAAGCATCTTATCGCGGTGAAAGGTAAAAGAAGAATCGTGACTCTCATAATTCACGACTCTTCTTCGTCGATTACTACTATATATGCGATCCCAACAGAGTCGATCAATAATCGAAGAGTATTCGTCGATTGTATGATTACAATCTCTCTTGATATAAGTTTAAATTCTTTAAATCATCACTACTAATGTTTAACATTTTATAAGGTGATAAGAGAATAAAAAAATATATTTCCGCATAAAAATGATATCTACGTAAATTATACTGTCCGACATGGATTTTAGACCACGAATTGGACAAAGTGATTCTTACAGACTTTTTGTCGCTGAAAATGAATCCGTAAATAAAATTGTTTTATCACACACGTTACGTTTTTAAGAAAATTAAATCTAAAAGTGCCAAAATGGCATTTTTTGTACTTTTGAACTAAAGTATCTCAAATAAGCGTGATGTGATGGAGCAATTTCATGTACAGATTCGCGTTTTTAATGACGAATGCTCTACTAAAGTTGCCACACTTACTCCTTTCGTGGTCTAGAAAAAGTTTAAATTTATCAAACAGTATTATTCTCTATTACACGATACATAATATTCTTAATCGTGTAAGTTTAAAGTGCAAGATTTCGTCGAATTCGAATTAAAATCATGTATAATGTAATAGGAAAATTTTATACAGGAAACGTTATCAACACGACGGATACTGCACAGCGATAAGATGTTTATGTCTAAGATGTCAGCTGGTTGCAGTCGCAGTGTAACTGCTGATCCGTACAAAATACGATACTCTGTTGAGAATAGAGACGGATCATCTTGAGAGCGACGTCTGGACGGAATCGCCAAAGTCGACCCGCCATGCGCCGAACAGCGAGACGCCGAGGCCGAGGAAATCGTCAAATATCCATACGATCTCAGCATCGCGTGCGCAAGCGCGCGCGAGCGCGTCTAAATTACGGGCCGTTAGCCGAGATCTGAATTACTGGTTAACACCGATTGTCGTGTCAGGAACGCGGAGCACGGTGAATAAAAACGGGTCCGCCGCAAGTGTATCGCGGTAGTTAAGGCGTATCGAGCCACGAGAGGAGAGTGGTTAATCGCGCGGTGGTAACAACAGTATTGGTGGTGGTGATGGTGGCATAGCTATGGGCAGCCATGCGGAATGGTGGCAGAAACGACTTCCAGGTTTCGTATTCTGAAGGATAGAGGAGGATAGAATAAAGCCTTTGATCGATAGCGTAGATAATTCGCTCAATTGAGGAAAACTAGATTGATCTTTGAAAATCTTGCGCTATCTCTTCTCTCGTCACTCTTGACAGTGTTATGAAGCTAAGCTTTATGTAATAGACAAAAACAGTATGTTTTGCGCTGAATTCAATAAATATCTCATTATAAAGGTTTATTTTGTAATAGTACATGTATAATACGTACGATTTCTTCTCTCTGATTTTGCACAGTATGAATACGAAAAAAATTTTGTTAAAGTATCTAAAAATTTAATTAGATATATTATAGATCTGTGAAAATAATTTTGTGATGTTTCCAACTACCAAGTCAGAATTTGAAAAATCTGAATTTTAAACGTCGATATTATTCATTGATAATCTGAATATATATAAATATGATTTCAATAATAATTACTTTAATAATTTATACATGCTTGTTAATTTACAATCCATCAACTCCCTGGCAAAAATAGAAATCAGAGCGTAAGTCGAAAGTAAAGGGAAAGTAACAGAAGCGTAAGCAATTAACGTTCTAAGGAGCGTAGATTGGAACAATGGAATGTTAATGAAGCGTTAAACGTGCTCTCTGCTATGAATTTATCAAAGACTTTTAATGCGACAAAAATGAACAGTTAAATAAATGGTATAATATATAC